GCACTCTCTCGCTGCCTCCTCTATCAACTTCTCTATATAACTCCCATAGATGATCAGCTAAGATTATTCAGTTACAATATCAGCTCCTGAAGTTATTGTTCTGATGAGGTTATCTGCTCATTTCAATTTTCATTATAATCCTAACAATTCTCCATTCTCATCACTAAAAACAATCCAATTTTTAAATTTAAAACTCCTGCCAAGTGAGGATTGTGAGCTCAAACCCAGCCTGGGCAACTTTGCATGACCCTGTCTCAAAATAAAAAAAAGTTTTAAAAGAAGGTTAAAAATGTGTCTCAGTGTAAAGGCCTTGGGTTCAATCCCAGTGCCACCAAAAACAAACAAAATAAACTGCCAATATCCTTTTGACATTACAGAAAATTTCTATTAACTTCTGACGTAGGAACCCTTTCCCTGTGATACCAGTAAGGCAAAGGTGAAAAACATATGAGAAAGGAAAGCTGACTTATTTTTTGTTTGTTTGTTTTGTTTTGTTTTGTTTTTGGTACCGGAGATCGGACTCGGGTCCTTGTGCTTGCACAGCAGGCAGTGAAACCACTGAGCTAAATCCCCCCGCGAAAGCTGACTTATATATGCATGTGTAAGAGGAATTCTGTCATTAAATGTTGTTATTAAATAACAACAAAGCAGAAAGCTAGGGAATTATTTCCCCTTTCTAAAAACACATAAAAATATTAAAAGAAAACACTTACTAATCAAGAATAAAAGTAACCATTACTTCTTCTGATGGTGTTTGAGGAAATATGTTTATACTTTTGTGAGCAATAAGAGGGAGAAATTAAGATTTCGAAGGACATATACAACTGTCAACTTAAGACTCAAGCCTATTAGTTACAATAACTTTTTAAAAACTTTTACTATATCTTCATTAACTTGTCGATCCCAACATGTGCAGAAAGAAAAAAGCCTATTAGTGGACTGTGGGGCAAAAAACTGAGTTTAATACTCAGTTCTATCATTAACTAGAAAATTTCAAGGATGTCACTTCACCTCTTTGAAAATCACTTTATTTCCTATTTTACAGATGAAGCAAGTTTATCCTAACATTTACAGATTAAATGTTTGCTTCAATTAATTATGAGCAACTCCAAATGTCTGGGATCACAATTAATTTGTAATTAAGCTACACTTGAATTTGGATTGAGTACTGGTGGGGCAGTGGGTAGGAATATGTCTTGAAGTTGAACTCAGGGTGGCAATTTTCTCTGTAAAGAACCAGATAGCAGGCTTTGCAGGACATATGGTCTGTCTCAACTGCTCTACTCTGCTACTAGTAGTAGCAGTTTCACTACTGCAGAACTGCCACAGACAGTATGTATGAATAAACAGAGCTGTGTTCCAATAAAACTTAATTTCTGGACAATGACTCTGAATTTCATATAATTTTTATGTTATGAAGTTTTTTTCTAACCATTTAAAATCTAAAAACCAACTCTTAACTAAATAGTTATACAAAGAGGCAATAGAACCGATTTTTGATAAAGGTACAAAAGCAATTCAATGAAAAAAGAATTGGGGGCCAGAGATTTAGCTCAGTGGTTTCGCCGCCTGCTGCACAAGTGCAAGGACCCGAGTTCGATCCCCGGTACCAAAAAAAAAAAAGCACAATGAAAAAAGAATTCTCTTTTCAACAAAGAAAAGAGAATTCCCCTCAAAAGAGAACCAAAATTTAAATTACTCAAGTGGTTAACAGATTTACAGATTTAAGTGTAAAATTTTAAACTATAAAACTTTTAGGGATTAGCTCAGTGGTTTTGTCGCCTGCTGCGCAAGTGCAAGGACCCAAGTTTGATCCCCGGTACCAAAAATAAAAACAAAACTTTTAGGGAAAAAACAGAAGGAAATCCTTGGGACTTTGGACATGATTCATTAAAGAAAAACAATAGATTGAACTTTGACAAAATTTAAAACTTGATTTGTTTTTCCTGTGTGAAAGATCTTGTTAAGATGAAAGAGAAGCAACAGACTAGAAAGTACCTGCAAACCACCTAACCTGACAAAAGACTTACCTGTAATCTATAAAGAATTCTCAAAACACAATAAAAAAAGAAACAACTTTACAAGAAAATGGGCAAAAGATATAGATAGTTTACTAATTAGAATATGTAAATGGAAAATGATGACAGAGGAAGTTGATAAATATCAGTAGCAATGAGATCATGATAAGATATCACCATATAATATTTAAAACAGCTAAAATAAAAAGTAACAACACCAGATATAGTCAAGCATGTGGAAAAACAATACTGGTGGGAATATACAATGGTACAGACACTGCAGAAAATAATATAACACATTAAAAAATATAACCTAAACAGGTACTTAAAATATGACCTAGGAATCACATTTCCTAGAGAAAAATTTAAATCCACACAAAAGTGTTCATAATAGCCCAAAACTAGAAACAACCAAAATGTTCTTCAATAGACAAATGGTTCAACGGGGGAACAAAAGTACATCCATACTATGGAATACTATTCAGCAATGAAAGGGAGGGAGCTATGGTTACAAACACCACGTGAACGGTCTCACAGACAATGTGCTGAAAGAAAAAAGCCAACTTCAAAAGATTACATACTGTATGATTTCATTTATATAATGTTCTCAAAATTACAGAGACAGAAAACAGATTAGTGGTTACCAGGAGTTAGGGATGGTAGGGAGGGTGGAGAGAGCAAGACAGAACCTAAGGTTATAAAGGTATACAGCACAAGAGGGATCTTTGTGGAGATGCAATAGTACCATACTGTGATAGCAGTGGTGATTACGCTAATCTACATGTGATAAAATGGTATAAATCTACACATACACATTGTACCAATGTCAAATTCCTGGTGCTGGTATTATACAACAATTTATGTAAGAGGCAACCACTGAGGGAAACTGGTAAAAAGTAAAGACCTCTCTGTGCTATTTTTGAAATTTCCTATCAATCTGTAATTATCTCAAAATAGTTTCTAAAAATCGGAGGATGAGCAAAGGGAAGATACAACTCTGTAAACAAGTCTACCTACTCTCCTTATTAATCTTGGAGTTGTTTCCAGGACCAGGTGTTAAAAAAAATAATAAAAGCCAGTTTTAATTAAGTGCCTACCACAAGCCAAACACTATTTTAAGTGCTTTCCATATACTGTTCCGTTTAATCCACATAACCTTATAAATGAAATACAACCCAATTTACAGACAGGAAAACAGGCTAAAGAGAGAGGTTAAAGTGAAGAGCCACAATTTAAATTCAAATTAACTACAGAGGCATGTCTCTTGTATGAAGGTAACAAAAAAAAACATATTCAGAGAGGAAAAAGTTTCAAGTGGTATGCAAAAACCGGGACTAAGCAACAGTTAAACCAGTTTTTCTGTACAGTTTTCAGAATTTTAAAAATGCCAATTCATGCCAAGTATCTAGACTACTACAGTGCAGTTTTTACCAAATGTCTCTAAGTTCTTTTCCTAATAATATAGTTTGGGGATATACTGCAATAATCTCCCAGCCAAAAGTTAAAATGCTTAAATGACCTGACCTTAGCCTATTTCTCGTCACAAAAGGTAAACCATACATGTCAAAAGCTGTGCTGTCCATTGTGGCACCCACTAGCCATATGTGTGGCCAATTATAAATCAGAATTAAATACAATTAAAATTTCACTTTCTCAGTCACACTAGCCACATTTCAAGTCTGCTCAAGAGCCACATATGGCTACCACATTGGATAGCAGAGACATAAAACATTTCCATCATTTATCCATCTGTACTACCACTTCTATTCATCAATACTAGATTACAGACTTGTTTTTATTTCCTTTTTATTCTTTCTTATTTTTTTTTGGAACCGGGGATCGAAGTCAGGAACTTGTGCTTGTGAGGCAGGCAGCAGCACCACTGAACTAAATTCCCAGCCCTTATTTCCTTTTTAAAAGGACATGGAGACTGACCAATCTTCAGAGAAGGACTTCTAATTATTACATGTCACTGTTGCCATCTACCCATAAAATGGAGCTAGGTGAGAGATTATTGATTTAGAATCAGCTAGTGTCACTACAGTATCAAACACAGGAAAAATATAAGCAAAGGAGTAGTAAAAAGAGTAAAGAAAGAAAGCAAAATCACGTAGCTTGGGGATGAGGCTTGAACTGAGGTTCACAAGTTTTTGAGTTCTACACTCTGTTGTGCCAATGACTTTAAACTTCTTTAAATTCAATTTTTTTTTTAACTTTTGTACTTGGTACTAATTAACTGTGATTTGATTAGATGAGTCTCCTCACTATTTTGGGCCTTGGTTTTCCCTTCTACAACACAAATTTAAAACAAATGATGAAGGGCCGGGGATGTAGCTTGCTGTGCCTGCCTGGCAAGCACAAGGTCCTGAGCTCAATTCCCGGTACCAGAAAGAAAAAAATCAAAAAAACCAAAAATGATGGCTAAGATACCATCTAGCTCCATATGGATGGATGAATATAAATACACACCTGCATGTAAAAATAAACCAAGACCGTTCTTATTGGTGGTGGAAACTGACACCTTGTCAGCTTGTCATAAGTTCCATTTCTGAGGATGAGATTTGAACACAATCAAAAGAAGAAATATTTATTTCCATTCAATAACCATTTACTGAGAAATTATTTGTATCTGATACTAGCACTAGTGGAAGTACAGTAGTACACAAAAAAATCGGTTAACCCTAAGATCAAGTATGTGGAAATAATGTAAGACTCCCAAAACTTTAGATTCAAAGACTGGTTCAGTAAAATATAACAACCAAACTGGTCCAGTAGCAAAACACAGAAATATCTTAAAATCTTAAGGAGATACAATTAAATGATTTAAAATTCATATACAAAACACAAAAATGGCACAAGCAAAAGCATACCTCACTTCTTCCACATAAAATATAAATTAAAGCTACAAGTATTTGGGAATAGGAAAACAACCTAATTTCCCTGGAATTCACGTTTAATAAAAGAGTTCTACCTTTTCTGGGTTAAATATTCTTGAAGGTTACTGGAATTACATAGATCATCAAATTGTGCTAGACAGAATAAAATGCAACTGAAATTCTCACCTCTACTATCGACTGCACTCTTACCTCTTTCAGAGACACTGCTGGTTCTACGCATTTCCTAGGACCAAATAGAGAAAACCTCCTCTACCCCTATTCTAAGAGTTAAAACAACCAAAGTAAAAAAATTTTAAGGTATTTTTACCTCTAGATAAAAAAGGAGATAAGCTGGTTTTGTTTTGTTTTTTTTACCTTGCAGAAGGCTAAGGAACCCACTGAGTTGTGTAGCCTCTATAATAATTCATAAACGCCCCGAACCAGACCTATGAAATAATTTGGGGCGAAGGTGGTGGGGTGGAAGTAAAAACTAAAGATTATCAGGAAGGAAAAAAAGGAGAAGGATTTTAGTGACGCGCCTTTACTTCAGAAAGGCAGTTTTTAGTACCCCATCCACTAATTCCATGCCAAGGATCGCGTGGCGCGGAAACCCTGCCGAATTTGAAAACAAACGTTTCGAGGCTCCGAGGGACTGGAAAGGGGGTTGGTAACTGACAGCTCAGCCTCGGAGCAAGAAGCCTCAATTAGGTCAGACTGTGTCGACGGCCAGAAATCGAGGGTCCATCCAGTGGGATCAAGGGAGCAGAGCAGCAGGAGGTGAGCAGGGTTGGGAGTCTTTCGGTGGGTACTAAAGGGGCGGGATATCGGAACCTAAAGAGACTTCCAGCCCAAGCCCGGGCAGTTCGCCCGCTCTCACCTCGCTTGGGGGCCTTCAGCATAGGCATCCCTCCAGTCCCCTCGCCGTTTTCCTGCTTATCCTTGTGCTTGAGATCGCCTGGGACGCAGGAGCTGGGTTCGCCATCGGAGCCGCGGTGGTGATGGTGCTTGTGTCGCTCCTTGTGGCCCTTATGCTTGGGCCCGGCCGCGCTCACCGTCAGGGGCGAGAAGGTGAAGAGGGCCGAGGTGCCTGAGGCCGGGAGCGGGGTGGCGACAGCGGGCCCGGCGGGGGCCAGCGACGGTGGCGGCGGAGGCGGCAGGAGCAGAGGCTCCACAGGGCCCGGGACGGCTGGGGCAGCATTCGTTGGCGGCAGCGGCCCGGGATGTTGGCGGCTGCGACGCCGCCGGTGAGGAGGAGCGAGAGGGGGGTCCTGGCTCGGCCGCCCCCGCTTCTCCTGAGACCCCCCACTGCTTGCCCGGCGCTGCCGTTTCACTCCCCGGGGCGAGACCCCAGCATGGGGCTTCTCTTTCCCCTCTTTGTCCTGCTCCTCCTGCGCCGCCACCGCCCTTACTACGCGCACTGCTCCGACCTGCGCAGCCATTTCACCCACAAACACACATTTAAATGGCCCGACCGCCCCCCCGTCCACGGACCGCGCAAGCGCCACTCGCGCACGGCCCTCTGGGCATTGGAGTCTCTCCTTCTCCCTCCATTTGTCGGCCGTACTCGGTGCGGAGCTAAACATGCCGGAAGCGGCCGTTCCCAGAGCTCAGCAGGCCTCTCCCACCGAGTTTCCATTGTAAAGCGCCCTGGACCGCGCAAAGCCGCGTGGGAGCGGTAGTTCCGCCGCCCCCGTCGCGTCCCAGGCTCTGAGTGGAGGAGCCGAGAGGGAGCGTGCACCGAGTCACGCTTCGGGATGCGACGCAACGGCTCCCGGCCGTCGAATTGCCGCCAACCGCCTTAACGGCCCAAACATTGTTAATGGCTTTCTGAGTCTGGTGGCGAGCTCACATTATCCTCTTCCTGCGTCCATTCGTCCTTTTACACAGAATAGGTGGTTACCATAGTGACTTCTAAATGTCATGTTTCTCTCACAGCCTTTGTGAGGTAAAAGAATCTCCGGCCTTGTCCCTTGACAGAGTAAAATGAAGGAAAAAAAGAGAAGTTACTATTATGTAAAATGACGGCGGTTTTGCTGAAACATGCAATAGGGCTGCGATTCAGAAGTGTTTGGAAGCACCTTCGGGGCATTGCTGTGGTTCCAGCTACAGGCGTAACGAGACAGGTGCAGGACCTGCTTGGCAGTCCAGGGAGCCCAGCATTTACTTTGAATATATTCCCACAGCCACGAAAAATCCTAGGCGGAAAAGCATATTTTAAATGTTTAATAAGATTTTTTTTCAAATCATGAGTGTAAGGATGCATAAATTTGAAAGGTGTGTCTACTAACAAACACCCAAAATCATCACTTTTCTCCAAGCGAAATTCATTTAGAATTTTGTCACTGTAGCTTTTACCTAGGATTCTTTTAATATATTTGGTCTTTAACAACGATATTTGAAAATAATTGATTGTAATGATAGACTCAGCAGATAAAATTACTGTTTTGATACCACTGATTCCTAGAGAAGAATAACTTAAACACTACTACAATAAAGTTAGTTTCAAAACAAAAAAGTTTATTGAAATCTATTGGGTATACTGTACTACAATGAACAGGTAATAATGTGTCATTCACTTTGCCCTATCATTAGGCTTCCTAGTAAAAAATATTAATGAGTAAATACTGTTAACACTGTCTCTAAAAGTTATAAATAAACTTTTTTTTAAAAGATGTTAAATCATAAGGGTAAGTAAAGTGAATCCTTTCTAATCATACTGATCTACTAAGTTATTTGCTACATAAAGTTAGATTTGGAATGTCAAATTGTTTTAATGCAAATCCATAATCAGAAACTTAAATGAGCAGTACCTCTGGTTGGTTGTATAGAAATTGCTCATTTATATAGAACCTTTTATATAATGAAAATACTACCAAAAGGTAGCAATTTTGTTGTTTTTCTAGAATTGGTAATTGAGGTTAAAACTTAGCAGGAATATAGTTGACTATCTTGTTAGTTGATATATTCAAATAAAAACTTACAGTTGTTATTATTTGTACATTTTAGTCTCTTAAATATAACTTCTTTGCTGGAGTACCAGTCTCCCACAACATTTGGAAATATATATGACTCCATTTAGGCAAAAATAACTCCTAGAGAATAGGCATTGTCACAAGCAATAATTTTATACTGCAACTACAAGGTAAGATTTAAAAAATTAAACAAACTTTTTATATTCTGACCATGTAGAAATTTAATTGAGATCTATTTCTTATAAAACCTTATACACATATCAACTTCCCACAAAGACTGTAGACATTATGTACTACACACATGTACTGATAAACTAAGAAAATTTAAAAAGTATTTACTCTCAGAAGAGACTGGAAAAAACTTTATATTTAAATCATGCATGGTGACACACACTTAAGAGTCCCAGGATTGGGGAGGCTGAGGAAGGAGGATCACTTCATCCCAAGAGTTCTAGACCATCCTGGGTAACATAGTGAGACCTGTCTCTTAAAACAAAAATGAACAAAACTTTACACTTACGTAAAAAAAAGTAAAATAGAATAACTTCCAAAAGTAAATCCATTTTTATTTTTTTCCTGGTACCAGGGATCAAACTCAGGATAAATCCATTTTTAAAGTGTTTCTCATACAGCATTCTCTTCATAAACTCAAGTGATGAACTTTTTATCTACAATTTCCAACCCACATATTCCAATGTAAATGATAGGAAAATGCAAAACTTCTGGCCTTTTTGCTTATTTTCTTTTTCTTTTCTCCTGAATGGATTTATTTTCTTTTTAAAAATTGTTTATTGGTACATTTTAGGTATTGATTTTCTTTTAAAAGTTATTAACATTATCATATATTCTTTACAATATTATGAATATACAGCACTTCTTTTAGCTAGCCAGTAGTTGTATTTCAGGCTCATTTGGAGCCCATATTCTGATAAATCCAGAGTTGTATTAAATATTCCAAGATGGTGGTGGGTTCCGTGGTCCTTTGGGCTTTGAAAAACGATTTGCAAAACCTGAGAACAAAAATAAAAGTGAACAAAGAGGTTTTTTTTTTTTAAATACAGAAATGAAACTTGAAGCCAGACACAATGGTCCATACCTATAATACTCATACCTCAGTACTCTGGGAGGCTGAGGCAGGAGGATCATAAATTCAAACCCAGCATGGGCAGCATAGCAACTTAACTAGGGCTCTGGCTAGTTTCAATCCCCAGTACTAAAGAAGAAAAATACTTGGAATTTACAATGTAACATATGCAAATACATGGGTTCTTTTCAAAAGTCTAGATAGCATCTTTGACCAATTTAGTAATAGATTGTAGGGACATTACAGTAATTTAAAGCTTAAATGATAACAGAATACTTATTTTATTTTTGCAGTACTGGTAATCAAACCCAGGACATTGCGCATGGGAGGCAAGTGCTGTACCACTTTGCCTCATTCCCAGCATGATTACTAATATTTTACATTTATAAAGCACTTATAAATTTAATAATGGTAGTAATTGGATAGAAAACCCTGGTTATAATAGTCTTTGATAATTCAGCACATAATATCATTTATCTACATTTTTATCCACCATTTACTTATTGCAAAATTGAATTTCAGTTTCACAAAACTCAGCACTATTACTTGCATATTACTGCATTAAGTCCAGTTATACCTCTATGTAGGCTCAGAAAGTTCTGTATTACTAACCAATTATGTGAGAAGAGATTAGAAAAAATAAAGTAATAATCTTGGAAAACTAAATAGTTGAACAGTTACTTTTATTTCTTTTTCCCTCAAATTCACACCCCCTACCTCCCACAAAGGAGGAAGCTAAGGAAAATTTTCACAAATAAGAAAGGCTATTGTGGCCGTGCTTTCAGAACATTTGCAGGTTGATGACATTGGTTTTTATCATTTCAGCAAAATATGCCTTTTCTTTGATGGTAGTATATTTTCAAGGTATCTTACACTTCATAACTTTAGGGGCTTAAATTAAGAAATGAAAAGTTTGAAAAACAGAAGAACAACAAATATCAAAAGATATTCCTAAACCTTTTATTTCAACACCTTACCTAGTAACTACTCAATTGTTACCTAAATCAGAATTTACAAAAACCTATACCAGAACTGGAAACATAATAGCATAGTAGGAGAAGAGAAAAGAAAATGTAAAAAAAAGTAATAAACTAATAAATTTAATTAACAGAGGAGATTTTTAAAAACTGGAAGAAGTATCCACAGCCTAGCCCATGTATATTTTACCCCTTTGAATAACGGACAAGCTAGAGGGTAAGATGTTTCATGTTAAGTAGGTGCATGTGATCATCAAAATTGCCTCATCAGTACAGATATTTTGACTGTAACCCAGGTGGACTGGGATTATAAGTAAGGACATGTTACATAACTACTTGAAATATCTACGATATAAGGAATATGTCTTGTATTTAGTCTCCACTACTCAATTCTCAATAGAAAAAATATGAGCTATCTTCTTTTTGGGGGGTGGGGAGAGGATGTGAGTTAATTCAGGAATCATGAACCACAAGTTTTTCTTTCAAATTTAAATACATTTTGAGTAATGTATCCTTACATTAATTAATATTGCTTTCTTTATAAAAAGGAGCAATGAAAAAGTAAATTCTGCCTTTTCAGTAAGTAAACTGTTCAAATCTAGGCATATTTGAGAAGTAACATGGAGGCAGCTGTCTAATTTTCAGATCATTGTGAAGTTATGTAGACTATAAGTTAGATAAGCAGCATCACTGGTTTAGTGAAAAAGAAACAGAAAATATGACCAGTATGTCCAAGGCAAAGTTAATGCAGAATTTTACATAAATGGTTTTAACTAAATGATTCCATACAAATCATAATTCTAAGTAATATTTTAAACCATAGCATTAATAAAATCCAAATAAAAATTTATGGCTAAAGAAACAAATACAGAAATTCTAGTTAGAGATTTTCTCAAACTGATATAGGCACAGATATGGCAGAGATTTCTACTTCTCCACCAAAATCTCTCTCTGCTTTTTCACAGAAATAAAAATTGTATCTGGGGCCGGGGATTTAGCTCAGAGGCACTGCACCTTCCTCTCAAGCACAAGGTCCTGAGTGCGATCCCTAATACAAAAAAAAATTGTATCTGGGCAATTGTATATGAGATGTGATCAAGTAGTACAGTGAATGCTTAATTATTAAATTATTACGGTAAAAGACACATTACCATGAATCTCCTTCAAAATACTCCAGGGGTCTTCCAGATCCTTTCAGATGTCTGCTTTTTGGTTAATAATTTTAGTAGTAATAGCCTACATTAATTGCCAGACTTAGAAATTATACTATATATGATACTATTTTAAGTACTATCACAAGTACAAGTCACATAGAAAAATACAATGCTTAAGATAATACAAAATTACCGTCTAGTTTATAGCTTATACTTAGGGTCAAAAGGCTAAGCAATTCCTTTATTTTTTTATAGCAATTCCTTTAAACTGTCAAAATTGTGCTCCATCTCCTACTGTCTAATGAGTTATATAAGATTAGATAGCATCTGCTGTTGTTTTAATGACACTTGTATGCGTTTTTGTAACTAGCTATAGATATGACAGGGACTATCAGAACATCTCAAGTTCTTCATTTCGCTAGTCATGTTTATTTACTACATACTAGAATAATAATTTGGTTATCTATATTTCTTTTCCACATATGCTAGACAGTTCAGCACTATTTGAGATGTTAAGATGCAGCTGAGGAATGAGGGTGCTGCTCAATGGTACAGTGGCTGCCTAGCATGAATGAGGCCCTGGGTTTAATTTTTAGCAGTGCCAAAAAAAAAAAAAAGTAGCTGAGGTTAAAATTAAAAAGATAAATTGCATGGGAAAGGATATAAATATAAGCACCTATACTGTAAAATATATTTTCTAAAAATCTCTGCTATAAAATAATGCACATACCAAAATTTGGAAATGACCTGGAATTATTTGATTGAATAGATTCTGCAGGCTTAGTTGGTGAGGGAGAATTACAGATACCTATAATCAAGAGAAAAAAAAAAGAGAGAAAAACACAAGGAGAAGAATGAAGACAGACTTATATTACTGTTTATGAAATTGCATAATTGCTGAGATTAAACATTTCCTACAGAGCAATTAGTGTTTCCAAATAAATATATCAGTATCAAATGTTGATACTTCTTACAAATGGTTGAGACTATAATCTTCTCATTGTGTGTTTGTTTTGTTTTGTTAAATGGTTTTTTTCTTTACAATCAGATGATATAGTAAATCCTAACACTAAAGAAAACTGCTAAAGGAATGAGATCCATTTTATTATGAGTCAACTTTTTGGGGGAGTCACAATTTATCTTTGGACTTTGTCTTTTACTCTAACCACTCTTAGTATACTTCTAAATCTTCACCTTATTTGTTTATCTATGGTGAGTCTGTGATTTTTTTACTTGCAGCATCCTCTACTAGAATCTCTCTCCACTTTCCAGCCTACTTTTTTCCCATTATAGATGATTCTAATTTAGTTTCCCAAAAGCATTGTTATGGTACTTTGTTTTGCTATTTTTGTTACTTACATGTAGGCTTAAAAATATATTTGTCTTCCCAATGCCTTAATATACACAGATATTAGTTTTTTCCTAGTTTTTTTCCCTGCCTGGTTTTTAAAACAATCCAATAAAAACTGGTCCACACCTTGCACATGCACCATCTTGCAATGAAAAAAGATAATTTCAGTTTGGATAAACTTTCTAACAGGCCGGGGATTTAGCTCAGTGGTTCCGGCACCTGCCTTGCAAGTGCAAGGTCCCAACTTCAATCCCCGGTACCAAAAAAAAAAAACAAAAAACTTTCTAACAAACAGCATACAAATGGGGAAAAGTTATTAAATATTCTCATTTTGGTTTTCAACATTTCAGAATGCAATATGAGAACTGCATATATGTGTTTGGATATACACACCTAAATATTAGGATTCTAGAAACACCCTCCCTTTTGGGATGTACTTGAGTATGAATCACTAAAACATAGTAGATTCAATCATATCCAATTATATATATATTGATTGATACCTTGTGACAAGCACTGGGCTAGGCACTGAGGACAGACATGAATACAAAGTAGATGAAGGTGAGGAAGTTCAGGAGCTATCGATCTCTATACTGCACGTGGACTGAGAGTTTGCTTTTTGCAAAGGAACCAGAGATCCTACACATGTATATTGTAGGAAACTTTTATTTTACATTTTGACACGCTTTAGATATTTTCTAAAAGAAACACTGGGTATGAAAATCATAAGACATATACAAAAGGCTGCTAGAACTTGTGGTATGAATTTAGCAATGCTATAGGATTAATGCCCTAATGAACTGTAAAAAAAAAAAAATCAACTGTCTTAGTTATTTTTCTTGTTGCTGAGACAAAGTACCTAACACCCAAAGTTGAAGGAGGAAAGGTTTATTTTGGCTCACAGTTTGTAGAGGTTTCAGAACATAATCATCTGGATCCAAAGCAGGGTGCATGGCAGACAGGTATCTCAGAGGAGACACAGTCCATGGCAGGCAGAGGTAGCAAAGCAATCACGAGACAAAACAAGCCTCTTTCTATCCCTTATATTGTATCCAGGATACTGGAATTAGGGCAGTCCCAAAACAATCAGTAGACTGATTTAGTAATCACCCACACTTAATCCTAGCACCCTTACTCCTAGCATTCCACCATGAATCTATCACACACTCTAGATTCAGCCACCCCTGAAAAGGCCCCACCTACAACCATATGAGCCTTTGTGAGGGACATCTAAACACAAGCCATAACATCAGCTATTTTCCCATATACTCAAAATGAATCACTGCGAATGAATTTTTAAAATTCATATACAATTCCATCAAGAAATATAAAATACAGTTGCATTTAATAAAATATATGTAAGACCTGCATATAAAACATAAAACATGGTTGTCATTTTATTTTCACAAGTTGAAACACTGTCTTTGTGTGTGTATGTGTGTGTTTGATGTATAATAGTTACATTTTTTTGTTTTGGGGAATTGCTACATGTATATATTAATAATTTTTAATCCCTTTATTCCTTTTCCCTACACTCCTCTTCCCCCATCCCCTTCTGCATTTCCAACAAGTCTGCTTCTTTGTTTTCTACCATTTCTCCTTTATATTACTATTTTATTTGTTTTAGATTTTTCCTATAAGAGAAACCATGCAACATTTTTCAATGTCTAACTTATTTCACTTAACATTATGGTGTCAAGTTCCATCTATTTTCCTAAAAACAATATGATTTCATTATTTATGACTGAATAGTATTCCATTGTATGTATATATATATATACACACATATATATACACCATATTTTCTTTATCCATTCATAAATGGATAATGAGCATCTAAGCTATTTCTGGAGCTTGACTAGTGAGAATTGTGCTGCTATAAACATGGGTATCCAAATATCACTATAATATGATGTTTTTAATTCTTTGGGCAGTATACCCAGGAGAGGTCTAGCTAAGTCAAATAGAATTTCTATTTTTAATTTTTTGAGGACTCTCCATACTGATTTTCATAACAGTTATATTAGTTTACATTCCCACTAACAGTGTATGAAGGAATCTTCTTTCCCCACCTTACCAACATTTGTTGTTGGTGCATGTGTGCATGTGTGTGTGTGTGTGTGTGTGTGTGTGTGTGTGTGTATGTGTGATTGCCATTCTGACTGAGGGAAGATAGACTCAGAGTAGTTTTGATTTGTACTTCTTTGAGAAATATCTATTTAATTCATTTGCCCATTTATTGATTGGGTAGTTCATTTGTGTGGGGGGGTAATTTTAAGAGTACTTTATGTAGTCTAGATATTAGCCCTTATCAGAAGAGTAGCTGGCAAAGAATTTCTCCCATTCTTAGGGTGTCACTTCACTCCATTGGTTGTTTCCTTTGTTGTACAGAAACTTTTTAGTTTGGTGTAATCCCATTTGTTAATTCTATTCAGGAAGTCCTTACCTATGCCTATGGTTTCAAGTGTTTCCCCTAAGTTATCTTCCATCAGTTTCAATATTTCTGTTTGTATATCTAAGTCTTTGATCCATTTTGATTTGATATCAATATAGTGTGAGAGATATGGACCTAGTTTCAATCTTCTGTATGTGTATAAACAATTTTCCCAGTACCATTTGTTAAAGAAGCTATCTTTTCTCCAAATGTCTTTGGCCTCTTTATAAAAAAATCAAATGTCTGAAGGTGAATGTGTTTGTTTCTCTGTTTTATGTTCTATTCCATTGGTCTACATGTCTGTTTTTGTGCCAGCATCATGCTGGTTTTGTTATTACAACTTTATAGTGTCACTTAAAATCTGGAATTATGATGCCTTCCCCTTTGCTCTTTTTGCTTAGGGTCACTTTGACTATTCTGATTCTCTTCTGGTTCCATATAAATTTTAGGATTTTTTTTCCTACTTCAGTGAAGAATACTATTGGTGCTTTAATAGAGATTGCATTAAAGCTGTAGATCATTTTGGTAATATAAACATTTTAATGATGTTAACTCTGCCCATCCAGGAACAGAAAATGTCTTTCCATTTTCTTGCATCCTCTTCCATCTCTTTCTTCAGAGTTCTGTAGTTTTCATTATAGAAATCCTTTACCACCCTGCTTAGGTTGATTCCTATATATCTCATTTTATTGACACTATTGTGAATGGCATTGTTTTTCCTAATTTCTTTCTTGATGGGTTCCTTATTGGTGTACAGGAACACTATTGATTTTTTCTTTGTTTGTTTGTTTTGAGACAGAGTCTCACTATATCTTCAGGCTGGCCTTGAACTCACTAGGTAGCCTGAGCTGACCTTGAACTCACAGTGATCCTGCTGGCTTTAACATCTCAAGTGCTGGGATTACAGGTGTGTGCCACCACATCCAGCTAACACTGTTGATTTTTTTTTTTCTGGTACCGGGATTGAACTCAGGACCTTGCGCTTGCGAGGCAGGCACCATGGCACTGAGCTAAATCCCCAACCTGTGATTTTTGTGTATTAATATTGGATCCTGCCACTTTGCTGAATTTGTTTATCAGCGCTAAGAGTCTTCTGGAGGAATATTTTTGGGGGAAGTCTTCTATATAGAAGATCATATCATCTGCAAATAGGGATAATTTGACTTCTTTTCCTATATATATCCCTTTTATTTCTTTGTCTTTCTGATTCATCTGGATAATGTTTCAAGTACTGTATTGAACAGGAGTGAGTAAAGTGGAGATTCTTGTCTCATTATTGATTTTAGAGGGAAAGCTTTCAGCTTTTCCCCATTCAGTATGATGTTGGCTGTGTCATACATGGCTTTTATCAGTTTAAGGTAATGTCCTTCTATGCCTATTTTCATCAGGGTTTTTTTGGTTTTGGTTTTGGTTTTTTTGGTACCGAGGATCGAATTCAGGACCTTGCGCTTGTGAGGCAGGTGCTGGAACCACTGAGCTAAATCCTCAACCCCTTCAGGGTTTTTTTTTTTATCATGAAGAAATATTGGATTTTTTCAAAGGCTTTCTCTGCATCTATTGAGATGATTATGTGATTTTTATACTTCATTCAATTTATGTGGTATGTTATACTTATTGATTTATGTATGATGAAACATCTTTACATCCCTGGGATGAAGCCACTTGTTCATGGTATATCATCTTTTTAATAATTTGCAGAATTTTGTATGCAAGTATCTTATTGAGGATTTTTAAAACTATGTTTATCAGGAATATTGGCTTATAGTTTATATATTTTTTTGAGTCCTTATTCAGTTTTGCTATTACAGCTGGCTTCATGAAATGAGTTTGGAAACATTCTTTCTCTTTCAATTACACGGAAAAGTTTGAGGAATATTGGCATCAGTTCTTCTTTAAAGTTCTGGTAAAATTCAATAGTGAATGCATCAGACCCTGAGATTTTCTTAGTTGTAGAATTTTTATTACTGCATCAGTTTCATTCCTTGTCATTGGTCTGCTCAGAGTTTTTATTTTTTTGGTACCG